GAACACATCAACATTGAAACAGATCAGCAGCAACATGAAACAGATCAGCAGCAACATGAAACAGATCAGCAGCAACATGATGTGATTTTTTTTCTCAGTGATTATTCTGGTTAGAGATTCATGAGTCTAACAGCCTCAGGGTAGAAGCTGTTCCTCAGTCTAGTGGTTCTACACTTAATGCTCCTCACCCTCCTTCCTGAGGAGAGCGGGGCAAAAAGTGTGTGCTGGGTGAGTGAGGTCCTGCATGATGCAGGTGGCTCTCTTCCTGCATGTGGAGGTGTAGATGTCTGTGATGGTGGGGAGGCTGACTCCAACATCTTCTGTGCAGCCTTCACCACTCTCTGCAAAGCTTTTCTTTCTGCAGCTGTGCAGCCTCCATGCCACACGTTGATGCTGGAGCACAGGATGCTCTCCACTGCACACCTGTAGAAGGAGGTGAGGACTGAGCTTCCAGACCAGCTCGTCTCAGCCGCCTGAGGAAGTAGAGTCTCTGATGAGCTTTCTTGATCAGGCTGGTGGTGTTGTTGCTCCAGCTGAGGTTGTCATTCATGTGTACACCCAAGTCCTTGTAGCTGGAGACCACTTCCACCACAGATCCTCTTATGTTCAGGGGGGTGTAGATGTTTTTGTTCCTTCTGAAGTCCACAATCATCTCCTTTGTCTTCTTCACATTGATGTGAAGGTTCTCTTTGCACCAGCAAAAATTCATCAATCCACCAATGTGGATTTATTAGTTACGAACCTTTGCGTTGTTTTTATTTACATTTGACACAACGTCCCGACTTTGTTGTAATTGTTGGATGTAAAAATCCTTTTTGTTTTCATTCTTTCTGTTTTCTGTTCATCCTCGGCTCAAATCAGAGAATAACCACAAAACGTGAAAACAATTTACTTCCTGAAAACTAGAAGCTCAGCAGACTTCCTTGAAAAGTTGGAACAATAGAGTCTGAGCGTTATTTCCTATGTTGGCATGTTGGGTGGGAGTATTGTGAGGGTTGGGCCGGGCACCTCTGCATGCCGGCAGCAGGGAGAGGAAATCGGTCACCTACGCCTCGGTCGGGCCGGGTGAGAGATTACATTACCAACTGGGAAGTTGTTTTGGCCAGAATTTGTTGTGCAGCCGCTGCTGAATTACCGACCCATTGTGTACAGCTCACCAGAGGATTTCTGTTTACGCAGCTGAAGACGTAGCATTGGCTCGTTCGCTGCTGCTCCTGTTTCGGCTGCTTTCTTCCGCCTCAGAGGATCATAATGAGAGGAAATGCTTCAGCTGTTTACGCCTTTAACAGAGAAAACAACAGAGAAAAGACTTCTTACCTGCAGCTGACAGCAGCCGCAGAAAGCTGCTGTATGTAGCAGAACTGTGGCTAAAAGCTCAAAGTCAGCTAAAATAAAACCTATTTTTTTATAAAAACTGAAGCTGAAGGTTATAATAAAACCATAGCTAAAAGCTGAAATCACCAAAGCTATAGCTGAAAAGTAAAATTATCAAATCCATGGCTAAGAGATAAAATTGGCAAAACTATAACTAAAAGCTAAAATTATAGCTAAAAGCTGCAATTTGATAAATTAGCTAAATGCTAAATTTAACCAAAAAAACTTAGATAAAAAATAAATGTAACAAAATTATGTGTAAAAGCTAAAATCAGCCAAATTGAAGCTAAAGGCTAAATCTAGAATAACTGAAATGCTAACTGTAGCAAAACCTTAGCTAAAATCCAAGTGCACCAATACAGTAGCTAAAATCTAAATGCTACAAAATTATATCTAAAAGATAAAATCAGCAAAGTAATTAATGTTAAATTTAGCTAAATTTTGCATTACTGAAATGCTAAATGTAACAAAACCTGAGCTAAAAACTAAATGTAGCTAAACAGGAGCTAAATGCTAAATGTAACAGAATTGTCTAAAAACTAAAATCAGCAAAGTAGTTGATGTTAAATGTAGCTAAATTTTAGCTAAAAGCTCAATTTTGCATTACTGAAATGCTAAATGTAACAAAACCTTAGCTAAAATCTACATGTAGTAGTAAAACAATAGCTAAATGTAACAGAATGATGTTGAAAAGCTAAAATCAGCTAAGTAGCTCATGTTAAATGTAACAAATTTTTAGCTAAAAGCTACACCAATCAAGCTACAAAGCTTAAACAAGCAAACAGTAGCTAAAAGCTAAATTTAGCGAAACTGTTACTTGAGTTGTAATTAACACGACTGTAAATGCTAAATGTAACAAAACCTTAGCTAAAAACTAAATGTAGCTAAACAGTAGCTAAATGTAACAGAATTGTGTCTAAAATCTCAAATCTGAGTTTGGAGAATCAGGGAGTGAAACTATCAGCCGACAGCAGGATTCACTCGAGAGTGAATTTACGTCGTTTACAGTGAGCGAAGCTTCAAACTGTGAATCGCTGATGTGTGAGGTCATCGATCGACATCATTTATTGACGATTCAAGTTTTTGGAGAACGTCGATGCCAAAGTGAACGAATGATCTCGTTTCTGAAAGTAAACTGAAATTTTCAGCAGTTCTTTGAACGTCCTTATCGAGCCGATCTTCCTGTTTGTGGTGTTTTTTATTATCTGGGGAATAAATCCGGCGTTATCTTTGCAGTCAGAGGAAAGCCGTCCCATGTTTATGTAAATAACTAGCAGCTCGTTTCGTCTCCAGAGAGCTGCTGGTATCTGGGTCTGAACAAAGAGGAGGTTTTAGGATCTGCTGCCGTCACAAGAAGTACTGCTGGCCCACTTGTTCAGTGACGAGCGTCGGACATTATTATCTACAAATAAACTGAATAAAAAATGAGTAAAATCCTGTCGGTGCAGAAAGTGAAACCCTCAGAGCATTTCAACAAACTGGAAGTGAGTTTTCTGTAGCATCAAAGTACAAAGTTCAGTCAGGTCATCTGGACGGTTTCTTTTTTTGTTGAGACGTTTCATCCTTCATCCAAAGGACTTCGTCAGTCCAAGGAGCCACAACAAACAGTCCCACAAGCAGCACACTCACATAGCGGACCAACCAGTTTGCTGGTGATAAGATGGTTTCCGGGGCCCGCCCTCTCCCCTGTCAACTCCTCTGAGGCAGCCATAGCCAAAGTGGTTCCAAACATCAAAGCAGAAGTCCTTTGGATGAAGGACGAAACGTCTCAACAAAAAAAGAAACCGTCCAGATGACCTGAATGAACTGTTGGATTTTGTACCTGGATTATTGAGCATGAACTTTGATGTTTTGAACCACTTTGGCTACGGCTGCCTCAGAGGATCGACAGGGGAGAGGGCGGGCCCCAGAAACCATCTTATCACCAGCAAACTGGTTGGTCCACTACGTGAGTGTGCTGCTTGTGGGACTGTTTGCTGTGGCTCCTCAGACTGATGAAGTCCTTTGGATGAAGGATGAAACGTCTCAACAAAAAAAGAAACCGTCCAGATGACCTGACTGAACTTTGTTGGATATTCTGGGACTTTTTCTTGTATTTGTTATGTAAAAATAAGAATGCATCGATGATCAATGAAGTCTCTTATTGATTTGAAACAGTTTCTGTTTATCGTCTGTTAACTCCTGCAACAAAACAGTTTTTATTTCCGTCACTTTTCTTGCTGATGTGTTTATATCACATGGTCGGATTCATATTGTGCAGCGAGGACTACACGTATTTTAATTTCCCCTTAATGGCTCCAACCTGCTGAACTTGACCGGTGGGTTTTCTTCAGCATAAACTCTTTACGACACCGAGACAGAGCCGATAACGACGGAGCGGCCACCAAACGTCTGGAGCTTCGTTCAGAGAAACTTCAGACGACGAAAAACTGTCGAGCTGCAGAAATCTGAGATTCAGAGAGCAAAGGAACTGATTCATCTGCACAACTCTAAGAACTGGGGGGGTTCTTCTCTGAAGAAGCGCATTGTGAAGATGCATCATAACAGCAATGATGCTTGGCGTCCAACTTTTCGAGTGCGTTTGTTGTTTTAAACTAAAATATGAGCATTTTAAATGCAGAATGGAGCCAAAGATTTGCCTCGAACGTTTCTGCCTCTCTGAGGGAAAACAGTTGCTCCAAGTCACAAAAAAGATCAACCGTCTCCAAATTTTGACCCGGCAGCTCATAGTTATTGACCTGAAGGTTCCATCTCTGCTATTTGCAGATGATGTGGTCCCGTTGGGGACATTGTGCCCGGACCTCCACTGGAGCGTTTCGCTGCTCGGATAAAGATCAGCGCCTCCAAAGCTAAGTGGGAAAAGTTTGGACTGTCCTCTGAGTGAAGTTCTGCCTCAAGTAGAGGAGTTCAAGAATCAGGGTTTTGCTCACAGTGAGGGAAGAATGCAGCGTGAGATCTGCAGACGGATCGGTGCAGCTTCTGTAGTACTGTGGTGCCGGTCCGTTGTAGTGAAGAGGGAGCTGAGCTGCAAGAAGATTTTTGTTTACCAGACAGTCTACATTCCTCCCCTCACCTGTGGTCATGAACTCTGGTTCTGGACTCAGATCTCGGGGCAGCAGCGTGATGGAGCTCCAGACCTCTCTGTTCACAGTCCCCACCTCTTCTGGGAGGACTTCAAGGTGTTCCCAGACCAGCTGAGAGACACGGTCTCTCCGTCGTGTTCTGGGTCTTCCCAGGGGTCTCCTTCCAGTTGGACATGCTCAGAACTTCCCCTTAGGAAGGTGTCCAGGGTCCATCCTGACCAGATGTCTGAACCACCTCAACTGGCTCCTCTGGATGTTGAGGAGCAGCGGTTCTGCTCCGAGTCTCTCCTGGAGAACTGAACTTCTCACCTCACCTCTAAGGGAAAATCCAGCTCCCCTGCAGAAAAAAACTCCTGGATCCATGATCTCGTTCTTTTGGTCACTACCCAGATGATGGATGGATCCCATAAACTGACGACATTATCTCCTAATGATGAGATTAGGTGTCGTCATTTTGAGCCATAATCTCACGATAAAGAGATTTTAAGCCTAATTTGGAGACAGTAAATGAGATTTATAATCTGGTTTGTTTCTGTGTTTCAGGGCCGGTGGCTGGAGCTGTGGAGAGTGTGTGGACTCACAGAAAACCTGAATCAGGTGAGAATCAGATGTTCATGTTCGAACATCATGGCTTCCTTCGAAACAGAACCTGTTTAAGAGTTCAGTCTTTTACGTCTTCTCTGTAAACGTGGTTAAAATCCAGCCGGGATTAAAGAGATTTTTTTTCTGACGCAGAAATCGACGAGTTCAGCACCGTGTCCAACGAACCTGAAGTGGAGTACACCGAGGTGGTCCATCCTCGAGCAGCAGACCCAACCAGAGGTAACACGGTTCTGAAACCGCTGGTCTCTGCCTCCTCCACATTCCTTCAGGGTTGATAAGACAGAGCAGCACTTCCTGGGCGGGGCCTAATTACCTTTAATTAACACACCTTCAGCTCACTGGGAGTTCCTGCCCTGATAAACAGGAAGGGCTGAGATAATCAGCTTTTGATGCTCTTCACGGTTTTTAGCTCGGGGTCCCATCGGTGGCTCCGGAGATGACCGTTAGTGGGACGCGGCCTCAGCCTATTTTTAGGATTCTGGTTGAAGCAGACACTATCAGCCGAAGTTTGTTTGATGTTCTGTGTTTGCTGCCCTCAGTGGTGCCGCCGAGGAAAGGGACGGACACGGTTTACAGCGAGCTGCAGAACTCTCCCCATGGTGAGTTTAAAGCACGTGTCGGCACGTGTCTGGGAGATGACTGTCGGCTACTACCACACCAAACTTTAGCTCCATAGCTGCACAACTGGCTCAGTTTTAGCTGTTTTTGTGTTGGCTAAAGTCAGCTGTCGGAAACGTCTTGACTTAGATGTGATGGTGGAGAATTTCATTAAAACCTTAAAAATGAAAGAAACGCATTAACAAAGAAACCATCGGCTGCGTTATCACCCTCAGATTAATTTCAGCCGAAACCCAAATATGTTTCTTGAGGTGAAGGTTAAATGAGGTCACATGTTCCCCTCTGACGGTGACAGAAACTAGCCGAAGATCCAAGACATGATCCCGTTCCTCGTGTCCTGAACGTCCTGTTTTTACAAACTGAGTCACACGCTGGACTCCGAGTCAGACTCCGAGTTTAGCTTCGGCTGACAGAGGCCGAAGGTTTCTGCAGAAGAGGGATGAATGAGTCGGCGAGATTCTTGCGTCGTCGCGACAACAACTAGAGAAAATCAGCTGAAATAACTTTATTCAAGAAATAACCATTGTTCAAACGAGCAGAACAAAAGCTAAAATATAACATTTCAAAATGGATATAAGCTAAATGTTAACTGTTGTAAAACCGTAACCAAAAGATCTAATTAGCATAAGCCATAGCTAAAAGTTACATTTAGCTAAATCTTAGCTAAACATGTCAAAACAGTAGCTAAATACTTAAAGTAGCAAGTTTATGGCTACAAACTAAAACCAGCAAAATTGTAGCTGTTAAAATATTTAAAAATCTAAATGCTAAATGTAATAAAACTAGCTAATGCAAAATGTAGTAAAATTGTGGCTAAAAGCTAAAATTGGCAAAACAGTAACTAAAAAAATAAAGTTTATAAAAACTGTTAATTTTTTACATTTTCAAAACTGAAGCTAAATGCTAAATTTTGCTAAAACCTTAGCTAAAATTTAGATGTAGCAAAACATTAATCATAGTTAAAAGCTAAAAACAGCCAAACATTAGCTAAATGCAACAAAATCATTAACTAAAATGAGCAAAACTGTAGCTAAAAAAAAAACAAATCTTTCCATGCTAAATGTAGCAACATTGTGGCTAATAACTAAAACTAATAAAGACTGTAACATCGAAAATTTGCTAAACTGAAGCTGTCTGTTATATTAACAAAACCATAGCTAACAGCTAAAATTAGCAGACATAGTTAAAAGCTAAAAACAGCCAACAGTAGCTAAAAGCTAAATTTAGCAGGGTTTTAAAGTTTAAATACAGCTAAACTGAAGCGATAAGTTATAATAATGAAACCGTAAACTGTATTTAAAACTGTAGCTAAAAGCTAAATGGAGTTAAACCATAGCTAAAAGCTAAAATTATCAAGATAATAGCTAAAAGCTAAAACAAGCGCAAGAAGAAGAAGACGAAAAACGTCTGTTTTCTGAAGGTGATTTCTATGAGAATATTTTTATAAATTGAGTTAAATAATTCAAAATGTACAAACACTAAAAGTTGTAACGCAGGTTTCCCAAACAAGCCGAAGGTTTTGAAACATGAACGGTTGAAAAAGTTCAAAGTTTAAAGATTTAATTGGCGTCTCTAAAGTTTAAACCAATAAAGAGAGACAGGATGGAGAGAACTGATCTGAGGTCAGTCTGTAAGTAGCTTCATGTTTAACTGCTGCTGCTTCTTCCTGCAGGTGCTGCTGAGCATCATGACTACGTGAGTATTGATCTGTTACATGTTCACCCGCCACTCCTGCACTTACAATGTATAAAACTGCTCACAGCGCAGACGGCAAGCTCTTCGTTTAGAAACAGTTCTTTCTGTTTTTGTTCACACCATCTGACTCAAGGACAAACTTCAACACAATAGTCTAAATATGGAAGTAATAGAATGTAATAAGAGTGTGCAAAGATTTAATATTCAAGATATGTCTTGTGTTTCCCAATATCCCTATGGTTTTAGCCATATTATTACACAAGTGTTTAATACGGGGTCCAAAATTACACCCAGAAACTTATTTTCAAACACTCCATAAATTAATACATTATTAATATCCAGTTTAACATTTATATCTTTTTTTCATTTCCAAACAACATAAATTTGGTTTTAGATAAATTTAAAAACAACTTGTTTCTATCAGACCAACAATTAAGTTTATCAATTTATTTTCCAACACACTCCAATAGCTGCTTTAAATCCACCCCAGAAAAAAAACTAGTTACAAAATACAACAAAATTAAGTATACATACTACATATGTCATTAATATACTGTACATAATAAATACTTTGGGACCCAGTACTGAGCCTTGTGGGACCCCGCAGGTAGATTCAAACATGCAGATTTAAACTGACCAATTTGCATATTGCTGTCAGTTATGCAATGTTATGTTTGTAATGCAGACATGCTCCTGTTTTTAGTATTTTACACCCTTTTATAATGTAGCATGTTTTTTTTTATTTCATTTTGAATCACTTCTTTTATTTACTTTTCATTTTATATGCTTTTATAGTTAGTCCTCGTGACTCAATGAGACTAACCTATTTAAATAAAGGTTGAATGAATGAAAAAAAACATTTCTTTACTTGAACTGATAAAACAGTTTGACAAGAAACAGCATTTTAGCTCCAACAAGCTGAAAACCTGACACCGAATCAGCTGAAGGACGGTGGACCTGGCCCAGCTCGGGGCTCTGCTGTGTCCCGTCTCACTCCTCGAGTCCCTCTCCTGGTGTCGTCCCCTCCCGACCTCAGTAATCCAGAGTCATCAGGAGGGGAAACGGCCGTCAGAGTTTCCAGACAAGAACAAAGGAGTTTGGGTCGAGCCTTCCCTCCCTATCAGCTGCTCAGATTAGAGTTGCGCTTCGGTCAAACCCATCTCGGCCCACGGACCGTACCTGTGATCTCAGCCTCTGTTGGCCCTCATGTTTGTCCCTACATGGTGCTGCCCGGCGCTGGGGTTTGGAATAATAAACACAGGAAGTGACATCAGCCTGTTTTTATCTCCGTGATAAAAGATTCTGCAGCTCAATTTGACTGTTTGTCTCCAGGAAACGGGCTCAAATGATCACCAGAGCATTTTGTCTTAATAATTACCTCAAGTGTGCGTTAAAGCATTTATTCTGTTGTTTGATGGTTTCGGTGTGTCTGCAGGGTTCGGTGAAGTACGCCGAGCTGAACGGTGAGCACCCCGAGCTCAGTCAGAACCACTCAGAAGGCCACAACTACTCGGACCTGCCGGTGCCGGTGGATTAACGCTGCGGATCACATCACTGGAGAAGATGTAAATTATTTTTCACAGCAAATAAAAACCCTGAAAAGATAAACGTTTACTGGTCAGTGTCGTGTGGGAGGTTTTCATGGCATGTCCCATGAAAGAGACCCGGGGCAGACCCAGAACTCTCTGTAGGGAGCCTCTCTGGTCTGGGAACGCCTTGTCCCCAGGAGGAGCTGGAGTGCCCTCCTGGACCTGCAGCCTCCACATAAGAGGAAGAAGATGGAGTTCCTGTGATGTTCTGTTCTCCTCTCTCATGTTCAAATCGTGTTTTTTTATTCAATAAATTTAAGAAGGTAAAGTTGATTTGGGTCGCCGCTCATTTCTGAGGTGTGATGGTGTGTTCTGAAGCTGGACCAGCTGAGAACCTTCAGGTTTCAGAGACTTGTGTCTTTACTAACAAACCGTGTTTTCAACCAGGAGGATCCTAAAGACCTGATCTGGAGAATCAGTCAGTTTAATAATCTTTGGAACAATCTGCGGCTCTTCTGTGGAGTGACCACTAGAGGGCGCCATTACACCAGAATTGGACAGATTTAATTTTCTTTTCTTTTTTTTAACTCTTCTCTGCTTCCTGTGGCCAAAACTATTAAATGCACAAAAAAAATTTAAGAAGCTAAAAAGAATGACTAAGATTTGATGGAGTCAAAGGCGCACAAATTTAGCAGATTGTTTTATTTATTTAAAGATATTTGTACGTTTGTGTGTTTTTGTTCATGTTTATTAATTTAGATGTCTTGTTTCTCACATATTTACCTGTAAGACTAATAATAACTTCAGCAAATGTTCTGTTTTTAGCAAATGTTCTGTTTTTATTGTCAATCTCAAGTATTCTTATGACAATTTAATATCTGATATTATAATTTACTTGGGTGTATTTTTAGCCTTGTTGTGGCTCAAATATGTATTTTGTTTGATTTATCCTTTGATTTACCAGGAATAATCCACAGATAAATCATCTCTTCGGCTGAGTACAGATGACGTAAGAACAAACCAAGAACCATCGTATGTCTCGTTACAAGAGAAGACAAAGTTACACATAAGTGCAGCTTTTTAAAGGTTTAAAAAAATAAGATGTTTTATTTTGATTTTTATGATTCAGGTGTTTGTAAATGTTGAGCTGTTTCTGCTCGCTTATATTTGTCTTTTTATACCTGAGTGGAGGATAAACCCAGTGTTTCCTGTTACTCTTAACTTTAGCCAGTATTTTATTAAATATTTAATTCTACCAGAATAAACTGCGCTCTGCTTCCTCGACACAGATGGAGCGGCTGAAATTAAAGATGAATCCCTCCAAGGTTGGAGAAGCTGGTCCACTCACACCCATCAAAACTTTAAAAGAAACATCGTAATACAGGATTAGAATCAATCGTTATAATTAGAAGCAGTTTTGTTTTCAAAATAAGATGAATTGGAGGTAAAGAAAGCAAATGCAGGATTTCAACTATTAGAGGAGGACATTATGTGGGTTTTATTTAAGAGTTTATGTTGTGTTGATGCAGAGATACTTGTGACCACGTGGGCACAACTAATCAAAAAAAGTTATAAGACGACTGTCACTCAATCTGTTTCGCGCAAACTTCCGGTTGAAGCCGACTTACAGTTGTAAAAACCTAATTTAGTGGAAGCTAATTCCGCTAACGGTTTCCAAAGTTAGTGAAAACGCTAATCCACTAAAGAAAAACTTGTTCTGCTGGTAGTGGATTAGTGGGATTATGCCCACCGCTGCTTGTAGCTTTTGACTGAATCTACCGCAGAACCATCCCAAGATTAAATTTTGAAGGAGCACTAAACTTGGTGGCGGTAGATTTCTGTTAAAAATCATATATTTAGTTTTATTTGTATTTAAAACCAAATGCAGACTGGAAAAAGCTAATGAAGCTAGCCTGCTATGAAGACATAATGGTATCTTCAGCATACAGATGAACACGTGTCGTCTGCTGCAAGGGAGATCAATGTAAATATTGAAAAGGGCTGGGCCCAAAAGGGTTCCTTGTGGGACGCCGTTAGATATGGGCAGGGGATCCGAGAGACAACACTCCACGCTCCCTGGGTGTTAGCCATAGGCGTAGCAGCCATTATACAGTGAGGAAAATAAGTATTTGAACACCCTGCAACTTTGCAAGTTCTCCCACTTAGAAATCATGAAGGGGTCTGAAATTTTCATCTTGGGTGCATGTCCACTGTGAGAGACATAATCTAAAATTAAAAATAATCCGGAAATCACAATGTATGATTTTTTAAATAATTTATTTGTGTGTTACTGCTGCAAATAAGTATTTGAACACTTGCCAATCAGCAACAGTTCTGGCCCTCAAAGACCTGTTAGTCCACCTCCACTGATTATTCTAAATTAGAAGCACCTGTTTGAGTTGTTAGCTGCATAAAGACACCTGTCCACCCCACACAATCAGTAAGACTCCAACTACTAACGTTGCTAAGACCAAAGAGTTGTCCAAAGACACCAGAGACAAAATTGTAGACCTCCACAAGGCTGGAAAGAGCTACGGGGCAATTGCCAAGCAGCTCGGTGAAAAAAGATCAACTGTTGGAGCGATTACTAGAAAATGGAAGAAGCTAAACATGACTGTTTATCTCCCTTGGACTGGGGCTCCATGCAAGATCTCACCTCGTGGAGTATCGATGATCCTAAGAAAGGTGAGGAATCAGTTCAGAACTACACGGTAGGAGCTGCTCAATGAGCTGGCACCACTGTTTCCATGGTTACTGTGGGTAATACACTAAGATGTCATAGTTTAAAATCATGCATGGCACGGAAGGTTCCCCTGCTGAAATCAGCACACGTCCAGGCCCGTCTTAAGTTTGACCATGACCATTTGGATGATCCAGAGGAGTCATGGAAGAAAGTTATGAAGTCAGATGAGACCGAAATAAAACTTTTTGGTCTTAATTCCACTCGCAGTGTTTGGAGGATGAAGAATGATGAGTACCATCCCAAAAACACCATCCCTACTGTGAAGCATGGGGGTGGAAGCATCATGCTTTGGGGTGTTTTTCTGCTCATGGGACTGGACGACTGCACTGAATTAAGGAGAGGATGACCGGGGTCATGTATTGTGAGATTTTGGGGAACAACCTCCTCCCCTCAGTTAGAGCATTGAAGATGGGTCGTGGCTGGGTCTTCCAACAAGACAATGACCCGAAGCACACAGCCAGGAGAACCAAGGAGTGGCTCCGTAAGAAGCACATCAAGGTTCTGGAGTGGCCTAGCCAGTCTCCAGACCTGAACCCTATAGAAAATCTTTGGAGGGAGCTCAAACTCCGTGTTTCTCAGTGACAGCCCAGAAACCTGGCTGATCTAGAGAAGATCTGTGGAGGAATGGACCAACATCTCTGCTGCAGTAAACCTGGAGAAAAACTACAGGCAACCTTTGACCTCTGTAACTGCAAGGCTACTGTACCAAATATTAACATTAATTTTCACAGGTGTTCAAATACTTATTTGCAGCAGTAACACACAAATAAATTATTTTAAAAAAATCATACATTGTGATTTCCGTTTCTTTTTTTTTTAATATATATTTTAGATTATGTCTCTCACAGTGGACATGCACCTAAGATGAAAATTTCAGACCCTTCCATGATTTCTAAGTGGGAGAACTTGCAAAGTCGCAGGGTGTTCAAATACTAATTTTCCTCACAGTATGTGTAGGGGACGTGTCCCCCCCACATTACAGATGCTTCTGACGCCCTTGGTGTTGGCAATCAGAACTGTTCAGTATTAAACCAAGCTGGGCAGTTCTCAGAGTCATAGCATCCTTGGCTTGTCTAGCAGTACTTCATAGTTTTCAAAGCATTTTGCTTTTTAATCAAAACTTTTTTCTTTTTTTTTTTTTTTCAGAAAGCACACAGAAATTATTTTGTTGTGACAAGTACACAATGAATAAACCAGAATAAATTGAATAACATCGGGTTTATTCAGGAAAAAAAATTCTCACATCTCCCCAGAAACTGTGAGTTCAAGAAAGTTTAGAGTTCGGCTCATAAATTTCTCCCAGAAACTGTTTGTTTGAGGTTCACTTTTCAGTTTGTGTTTCTTTCTGCCTTCTTTAAGTTTTCAGCCAGGGAGTGAGAGACACAGATGTGTGTGGTCACCATGGCAAAGATGAACAGCAGCTGCAGCGATCTTTAGATTTTTTTTTTTCACATTTTGTTTTATTTCAAGCTTTCAGAGGACAGTTTTGCAAAACTAACTTTTTTTTCCAACTCATTTGTGATGTAGATTTAAAAAATAAAAGGTTAAAAGGGGAAACCGTTAGATGAAATTGTCTGTAATGAAGCAGAGGAAGTGATGTGGAGGCAAAGATGTTTTTGTTGAGTCACTCTTATTTATGAGAGAGGCTCGGAGAAACGCATCAGCAATGAGTAATTTGATCGTGTTTCTGCAGGACGGGAACGTGCACGTGGCAGGATGAGTCCAACAGGATTAATTCATGCACTTTTCTGCTCGTTTGCATGAGTTAAAATCTTAATCTGGACACGGTTCCTGTTTGCTGTTCTTGTTCAACGTGTAAAAGAAAAAGTCTCGTTCCTTTAATAACGATGATTTGAAATATTGATTGTCCTTAAACGTGCTGCGTATTGAGAGAGCAGGATGTTCATGGTTTGACCACGACATCAGTGAAATCATTAAAAACCTGCGTCACGTCCCATCTGAATGTCCTCTGGTCACCTCAAGGACTGCAGGGTCTGCAGCTGATGGCGTCGGCATGGCAACCGCTTCACTTCATTAAAGGTCCAGCTCCCTGTCTCCATGAATTGACCATTAAAAATCGGCACAAAGACGCATGGACTAAGAAGGCCTCGTCCCTCATCCTGTCCCACCTCCGTCCTGTCTATTGCTGAACTTCCTGTCGCGCGCCGTCTCAATCTGAAGGTCGATTTATTTCTCCTCGTCTTTCTGATTTGGGGTTTGTTGCTCATCTGCAGCTGGAGAGTCAACACGTGGACGAGACCACAA